GCTCTAAGTACTCGCCCATATGGCGCCAGATGTTGTGATATCTTACCCAGACTTACCGTCGCCTTTCATTGTCTCAGTGCAGTTAAGCTTGAGAATCACAACACAGAGAAAAAGGTCGTAAGTCGTCGTCCAGAATGGGCTCCCGGAACGAAGATCCGACGTTCAAGTTAGTGAATGGTTGAGAAAGTATGGGTTTAGCTGAAGAGTGAGTGAGAAGCGATCCCCTCTCCTGAAAGAAAGGGGTTATATTTATACCTGTCATGACGGAGACAAGATCCTGACAATACCTTTTGGTCCCTACTGGGCTGACAGGACGTGGAGGCGTCCTATTGGCGGATCGTGCTCCGTTATTGGTTAGCTGCCATTGGTGCAGAATTCTCAGGAGGCGTGGCCCTGAGCATTACAGTTGTTGCTCTGGGAGACGACTGGTACTGTTTTGTCTCCGATAGCTTCAGTGCTTGGGCACCAAAGAATAATCATGAGATCGCGAGGGCGAGGGCGTGGTCTCGGCGCTAGGCGTACATCGATCCTTGACTACCACGTTTATCAGACACGAGCTCCGTTACATTTGACGTATTCATAGTGGGATACGTTAACACATATACATATACATATGGAAGGTTACATTCAAAAATTAAATATTCCAACAATCACATCCTTATCTAACGTGATAAAGATAATATCTCCAAATATTAATAAGATTTTGGACGATTTGCATATGATTAACTCTACAACTATATATTTGCATACGATAACCCATCCTTCACAGTTTCGTCATTCATCTTCTTCCCGTTTCTATTCTAGTGCTTCATACAAGTTCAACACATTAGGTATGTTTTTCATAGATGTATATGTTTTTTTTTATATTTGTTTATGTTTGATGCAATTTATGTTTATTTTTTTAGAAAAACCCAAAGTACATTGTTATTTTTGTTTCAATTAACCAAGTACATTGCTATACCTATGTATGTATTTGTATGTAATGATACCTAATCAGGTTATATGTGATATATGTGATTGGTCTGTAGGAAATAGTTATGTATTTACATACTTTTATTTTATTTTACACATTTATGCATTACTTTATGATATGATTCAGGATAACATATGATCAGAAAAATTATTGCCCTGTAATTGCAAGAGGTAGATTAATTTAATTACTTTTGTAACCGTGGTTTCCTCGAACTATAACCTTATATATATATATATATATATATATATATATATATATATATATATATATATATATATATATATATATTCCGTCTATTTCATTTAAATAGTGAACCATATAGTTTTATGTCGTTCCAAAAATAACCATAGTTTTACGTTTTATTCGCCACTAATAATAAATAATATTAAAACTTTCTATAAAGATAGTCTTTTTATAACTTTTCAGTAATAAGTGGCTTTAAAATTAACATAAAATTTTAAATTATAATACACCATCTTATAAAATCATAGTTTAGATTTTAAATAAAGGTTATTTTACATGATGTTATGCAAGAAAACTCATATAGTTTGTTTAGAAACACTGTAGTATATGTTGTATATGATCTTGAGGTTTTTGTAAATTTATATAATAAAGCTTTATGTTCTAAATAACGTTAGACGTAATTTGACGACAATGTTTACGAGACCTCATCTTTTGTAAGTTGTGACTTATATAATTAATATTTATTATTATTATTATTATTCATTTTTATGTAGATATATGTAAGTGGTAACAAATTGTTTAAAACCTTGTATGTCATCTCAAATAAAAAGTACAATACCTAGAAATTCTTTAGCATAAAGCTTCCGTTTAACGAGTAAAGTTAAGAAGTTTTAGTAGTAGGTTATGTAAAGAAAGGAATTAGCTTCGGACTTTGCCCTTGTTAAAATGGAATTATAGAAACGGGAAGGTGTAATAGTTTTGTGCTGTCGTTTTCTCTTACCATACGTTGCTGTTCCTTCGTGTTGGTTAATTTCATCATCGTACAACAATCACGCCACTCTTTCTGCTTCCCTTCCTTCTCCCACTCTTGTCTTGGCTGTTCTTGGATCTATCAACCAGTCAACGAGCATGAGGAGGATAGTAAGTACGTTGTTTCTTTATGTCCTATTTTTCTCAGTTTAGCCTACACAATCTGTCAAGAGCTATGTTTTTCCTGATCTGGGTGATTAACGGTCGTAGCTGCTCATCTCTTCTAATCCCATTTTGGGTATTTGCCCATCCCTCCCTTTTCTTAATTGATTTCAAGTTCCCTTCTTTCTATTTTCTTGTGTAGCTTTCTAGACACAGATTTGAGGTTTTAACCGTGATGTATGAGATAGATCTGATCTTTGCGATCTCGTTGTGTATCCACATTGTCTTTGATTTGATCATAATGATATCTGAAATGCAGACCATTGGCATTGGACTCAGTAGTATAAAGGGCTTTTTGTTAGTTTTTTCATGTATGTATACTGCTCCACTCAGTGTGTTGCGATGCGATCTATCTGTTTCATGACTGATTTTTAAAGTTGTAATGTAATTATGCTTGATATTCTTCTTATCAGTATCTTAGAGTGTATTCATGTTGACTTACCTCGGATACCTCCAGTTGGGCGGTGCGGTTGGCTTGGCTGTAGTGAGTGGGAATTGCTGTCAGATTTTACTTTTAGATCTGCTTTGTTGAAAATCGTAGGAATTTAGTTACTATTAGAAAGTGCATAAAAACACCTCTGTTATTTAAACAGTTGCCATGAGGAGACTGTTTTTACCTTTTCCCTTGGGGTTTCAGGTGGCACTGTTTTTGCTTATAGCAGCAAGCAATGCTATTCCTATTCCTATTCCTATTCGTATTCGTCTGTACAAAGATGAAGGAGGAAAGTGTAATTATGAGAGACATCTGATACCTCGGCCTCATAGTGTTTCCATTCTAGAGTTTGGTGCCGTGGGTGATGGCAAAACTGTAAATACGGTCGCCTTTCAGAATGCCATCTTTTATCTCAAGTCTTTTGCTGACAAGGGTGGCGCTCAACTCTATGTACCATCTGGCCAGTGGCTCACCGGAAGTTTTAGCCTTACCAGTCATCTTACACTCTTTCTCGAGAAAGAAGCCATCATTCTTGGATCCCAGGTCAGGTGTTATTAGTTATAGCTTGATTGACTCATCCTATCCTCCTACTCTATACAACCATTTATATATTTTATATATAAAATGAATGTGTTGTGGCTGTAGGATGTTGATCATTGGAAGGTGATTGAAGCTTTACCTTCTTATGGTAGAGGGATTGATCTCCCAGGTCAAAGATACAGTAGCTTGATCAACGGAGATAATTTAAATGATGTTGTCATAACAGGTATTACCCTGCCCTTATAAAATTATAACAGATAGAATAATTGTTAGGTGATACATGTATGTTATGTTATAGGTGACAATGGAGTGATCGATGGGCAAGGGTCTGTGTGGTGGGAGAGTTTTGATTCTCATACACTCAACTATAGTCGTCCAAATATTGTGGAATTCATCAACTGCAAGGATGTTGTTGTTTCAAACATAACTTTTCTAAATCCCCCATCATGGACCTTTCATCCTGTATATTGCAGGTAGGTTATTTTACACTTACTTGTATATATCTAATGCTGTTGTCTGTTGATTACTGATTACTGTTTCTTTAAAAATTCAGTAATGTCCTGGTTCAAAATATAACGGCAATCTCTCCACCTGAATCTCCTTACACCAGTGGCTTGGTTCCAGGTATGCTAAATAAATGTTGATCGATTTTGAATGTGATAGTAGTAAATAGTGATTTTGAATGTGATATTACTTTTACTTGACCAGATTCTTGTGATGGCGTTTGCATTGAGAATAGCAACATCAGCATGGGGCATGATGCGATATGTTTAAAGAGTGGATGGGATGAATATGGGATTGCATTTGGCAGAGCAACAACAAATGTACACATCAAGGGTGTGCGTCTCGAGTCTTTTTCAGGGTCGGGGCTTGGTTTTGGAAGTGAGATGTCTGGAGGCATATCCGATGTAATCGTGGAAAATGTGGAATTGCATGACTCCCTGACTGGGATTGGGTTTTTCACATCAAAAGGTAGAGGCGGCTACATCAAAGATGTTGTCATATCCCATGTCAGCTTTCATAATGTTGTGCTTGCAATCGAGGTTACGGGTGAGGACAACATTCATGCTGATGATGAATATGATCCTGATGCTTTCCCTGTAATCCAACACATCACTTTCAACAACATGACTGGCCTGAATATTACTTCCCCAGGACGCCTTTTTGGTATTCGTGAATCTCCTTTCACTTCCATCTGTCTCTCTAATGTTTCTCTTGTCCTCACCACGTCATCTTCTTCTTGGTTGTGCTCCAATGTGTTGGGTTTCTCTGAAAACGTATCCCCTATGCCTTGCTTTCAACTCCAAACCTTTCCTTGGAATTCTTCAGCTTGTTTTCCTGCTTCAACCTCTCGTATTGCATCCCTATGAACCCCTAAATTCAAATCCATATTTTCCAACTCCCAAAATCTTTCCTACTCAAATTTACTCAATCTCCAACCAATTCTTCATGTCATCAAGTCTGTGTATATCCTTGTTTCCCTTTATTTCATGTCCCCCAAAATTTTGGTAGCAGGTTGATTTCAATTCTCATTTTTGTGCTTTTTTTCTTGTGCATTCTTACTGTATATTTAGTTTGGATGTCAGCAATTGGTATAGCTGGACAAACCACAAGAAACTTTTTAGCGGTATATTTATTATGAATTCGTCTTTAATAGATTTTTGTGTGTTGTAACATGCATACAAACAATCACCTACACAGCTAAATCATTCCAATACTCATGTTTTAGTAAAAAGTATCTGAACAATGTTATTTTAAAAGTTAAACAACGTTTTTCTGTTTTTAAAATTTTCTTCCTCACCAAGAGCACATAAACTATATATATATAATGACAGATGGAATTTGGTAATAAGCATAAAAACAAGTAATTACACATTTTGTTTCTTTAAAAATCTATAATCCGCGAGACAGTAATCTAATTTATACATTTCAAATTCAGAAACTATGAGTAAAATGATGGTATGTTTGTATGTAGATTGTAGAGGTGGCTGGGTGGGCGATAAACAAAGAAAAGCCTCTGTAATCTGTATTGTATAAAAACTGTGGCTATATCAATAATAATCAATTGATCGTTCTTTGTAGTTTCCAAAAATCAAAATAGGTAAGAGGAGAAGGTAGGAGGTATGTTGCATATTTCATTTTGACAATGTGTGAGGAGGAGGAGGAGGGAAGGGATTAAGAAGAAGTCGGTGAATCATCTCAAAGGTAGTAAATGTAATAACAGCAGCCGGAGTCGTCCTCAGCAGATTTGTAGCACACCCACGGTAAAAACCAGGGATGCCCTCACGCTCAAACACTTTCTTTATGCAATCCGTCATTCCTGAGTACCTCTTTTCAGAGTGGTGTCCCTGTTCTTGAAGCCTCGCCCTAACAACCTGTTCAATGTTTCTCGAATGATAACCTCATACTTTAGAAACCATAATATCATATCCCATCCTACCTACCTCATGTGGATATGTGAGAGTAGATGCAAATACTTTAGAAACTGAAGAGGCAACAGCAACATCACGTGCACCAAGTTGATCCACCTCTATATTATCTGTGCCCATCATCATACCAATCTTAAGATTATATACATACATAGATAATAAATAACCTTGGGAATTGTTTTTATTTCAGACCTCTTCTAGCCAGATAGCCTTTAATCTTCTCATATGCTGGAAACTGAATGGCAACATGACTGATACCAGCCATTGCAGGTACAAGACCACTGTGGTCCATCCACCAAAGATGCAAAAATAAAATTCAGTATATATTATATAATGTGGTGCATGATGGAATTGACCTGACCTGTATAAGCCACGGATACCCTCTTCCCGACCAATTCTCATCAAAGCTGACAGTGTACCACGATATGGCATTACAACTCTTCTCATTCCTTGTGTCTGACAAAACACAGAAATTACTAAATATACTAATTGGCATCGCTTTAATTAATTAATAACTAAAGGGATTAAATCATCATCATACTTGTAGCCTTGTCTTCACAACCCACAAAGGATTTGTTACAATTGTTGTTGCGACTCCAGCCCCTGAAGCAGCTATCATATTGGCACCAAAAGATAGCTGATGACTTCCATCTATTATATCAACAATACATACATACATACACCAATTGTATCAATAAACAGAAAAGCTTCAGAATCCAAAGGAATATATATATATATATATATATATATATATATATATATATATATATATATATATATATATTTCACAATCTAACCAGAGCTAAGTGAACCTTTCAGCCAGTCATAAACAGTAAAATACACCTGCACAAGTTAAAAGTTATTAGCTTTTAATTTAAATAATCCAACTAACATGAAAACTCAAGCATATGTAATGTACTTACTACCCCACCGCCATTTAAACATATGGATATTGTTAGAATCAAACTTAACTCTTCCCTCTCATACATAATATAACTATATATATATATATATATATATATATATATATATATATATATATATATATGGATGACTTTAGTACTGTTCCTTCTGGTTTGGAATTGGATCCACTTATGACTTATGAGAGAAGAAGACATGATAAGCAAATATCATAACTGTTTCCTTACATGAGGCTGTGCATCAGCTCATGTGGATATTAAATTATATGTGGGGTGTTTGTGTTTCCTTCTTAAGTAATAATGTTCAGCCTAGCAAATGAGAGAGAAATGTTGTATAATTAAATGATTTAATGGACTGTATTCTGTTATATAAATAACTGAAAAGGAAGTTTAATGAACAGGCTTCTGCCTGATAGAAAATATAAAGCCTTGCAGAATGCAGCATTTAAACTTTTTTTTTTTTTTTAAATAAAAAAAAAATCTCAGTATCTCACACACCGCCCAGTTTGGAAGCAAGGCAATAATAGTTGGAGAAAGGCCACGGTACATGCCACGGAAGCCGTCTTTCCTGACAATCTGCTGTAGGCTCCCGACTATCAGACTGCCTGTTTGTGGTTGATAACAAAAAAGTCAAAGTCAAAAGGCAAAAACTTTATAGATAGATATATTCATATATATATGATTGGAGCCACAAGCTATATAGACGTTGTAACATTCAACAGCTTCCACAAGTTTACACAATAATATTAATAAATAGATATAAATATTGCACACCACAATCAAGCATGATCCAAACGAACGACGAGTACACATAATAGTATCCATCACTAGACGATCAAAAGGCGGATTAATTTATGCAGAAATGATTTGCATACCTCTAATGGTTCCACCGTTAAGCTGCGTTAGACCATGAACCTGAAACCTGGTCTTGATTACATCTAAAGGGCATACAAATGTGGCTGCAAGGACTCCTGCATATTTTCATATTGTAAGACCAGAGAATAAACGCAAAGTAATTAAAAAAAAAAAAAATTTCGTATAATTAAGGATATATAGGAGAGAGAAACCACCGAAAACGTACCCGCAACAGCGCCGGCGGCGGCATTGCATAGCATAGAGGAGGAAGTAGGGGGCTGATTATCAGCGGTCATTGGTGAAATCGAGGGAAATACTTTGAAAATATTGATTAATAGGATGGAAGGAGTCCTCTCTGGAGAGGGAGATCCTGGTCCTAGAAAAGCAAAGTCGCATGGCCAAGAAAAACGAAGGCCAGTAGAATAGAGATCGCTTGATGCAGAAAGAGATGGATGAGGGAGGGTTTAGCCAAGAAAAACAAAATCAATGGAGGTGTTTAGATCGATGAAATCGAGAGAGAAAAGCTATATGCGGTTTGGGGAAGAGATGAGATGACATCCGTGCCCGGGCTTTGTGAGCTCCAACTTGCAACCCCGATCCGACGTGATCCACATTTTCTTTTCTCTCTAAAATTCTACGATAAAATGAAGACATGAATTGAGTAGCTAACTTTTTATACGTTTAGTATATTTTAAATTATATTCATTTTAAACTCCTAAATATTCAAGTGCCTATTAATTAATTATAACTTTAATCTATTTTAATATTAAAATTATTCATCTTTCAACTAATTAATTAATAACAACCATTCAATAATTTCTTTTTAATTTATGTTTTATAATTACTAAGTATTTAAACTAATATAATATAATTTATAAGTATAAAATGATTGGTAGTTAGACCAAAAAAACCTTTGGTCTATCAATATCAAGGTGTTTCAAAATATATTCTTCCCCTAAAGGGTCGACTGTTCAAACCCTGTGGTGGACAAAACGAATAGTTTAAAAGTATGATTTAAAGCGTGTGTGTTAGCCGTTCTAAACAAATGATTGGTAGTTGCACAGTTTTGTATTTCACTATAAAAGAGGTTATACACAAATACATATTACAAAGTGAGGAGAAAACATACAAAAAGAAAGAATAAAATAATTTAAATATTTTTTTGTTAGTTTGAGTTTCTTTTTGCTACGTATCAAACCACGTTACCATGTTATAATTTTAAATTTATACGTTTGTAAATATTACTAGAATAACTTAATAGTTTTCGTTATGTCATATAGATAAAAAACAACCATACAATCATTATCGACGATGAAAACATAGGCGTATGAAACACATTTTACAATGAGAATATTTTATATTATTATTTTTTGTGCTTATTTTGTAACTCAAACTCAAACTCAAACTCAAACTTATCTAATTAGTTGATGGTTTGGATTTTTATTTCACATTTTTTGTATTCTTAATTGATCAGTTATATATATATATATATATATATATATATATATATATATATATATATATATATATATATATATATATATACTAGTTGTAAACCCGCACAAAGCAGCGGTAGAGAATAGTTTCCAGGCGGTGATTAATTCATTCTGGTGAATAGTTTCCTTGCGGCTACCATATGAGACCATAAAACCATCAAGTATTAATCAAGCTACAATATATTGATAATTCTTTAGTTCTTACAATCCTCAGATGCTAATAAATACATTTCTATGTTACTTTCTTGCAAATTACAATTAATCATCCATAATCATTACTCCAAATAACCGTAACATCATAGTTTTTTCGGTAAATAGCTGTTTTAAGGTGAATAATTTCATTTTGAAAATATATAATACACCAAAAAAATATGTTGACAAAGGTTATTTACGATTAAATTTTAATTATTTATAGCCAACATGGTTATTTTGGGTTAAATAAAAAACTATGATATTTTTGTTTGGTTTACAAAAAAAGTTAGAATGTATTTCCTAGATCACATAAGTACCTTTTTTAGTAATTATTTATTATTGTTTTTGTTTTATAATTATAAAATACAAATAGTTATAAACATAATTTAAGTAACTTTTTATTGGCCGACTGTTTAAAAACAATTTTAGAACTTTTTAAAAATAAAAGCAAAGAGTAATAACATGATTTAACAATACTCTATTAATGCTCAACTATCTTTGTTAATCTCATGTTTCACTTGTTATTTGAAATATATAATTATATATGTCAATTTCATGGTCTTTAATTAATAGAACAAAGGTGCATTTGTTAAAATTGTCAAAAACATGTTTTACTATAAAATTTGTTAAAAATATAATTTGATTTTTGAGGTATAAATAGGACAAAAATCAAAATGAAAAATTAATGTATTTTAAAGTTAGAACCAATATTGATCTCTACAGTTTCCGCCAACTAACGTCAAAGTGAAGCACCAGCAAAACCCAATGGTGTAACATTGAACCAAAAAAACAAAGGTTTGACCAAGAAATCCATATATAATCCACATAACAATACCGAAACTGCTCCAATTTTAATTATTATCAATTTATCATTTTTGCATAATTTACCCTCTAGTGAAAATCATAACAAAACAAATTAAGCAATAAACAATTAGAAATTTTTAAGCAGAATCATCAAAGATAGGTGTAATCGGTTTAAAATAGATCAAACGTCTCAACAAATCAAATGGGGTCTATATAGCATGAAAGATATTACATTAAAGTCAAAGATCTTGCAATGAAATCTAGTGATGATTTAGGATGAGAGAGAAATAAAATATGACTATGAGGCAGCCATAGAATCATCATTTTTTGCTTAAACTAAAAACAATCAGATTCAAAAACACAGATCCAATTTCGTCCATTTGACAGTCAATAAACCAAGCAACCCACGTAATGGAATCTACATTCCAATTCCTTAGATTTTGCTAAAATATAACAAATACCATATAAATAGGCCAAATTTTTACACAAGAAATGTTTTTTAAATGCCAAATATAGATTAAGAAATAGGAAGAAACATGCCTGGTTAGGGTCAATACAAAAAAACACTAAAAATCCCCAACAACATTTCAAAGCCAAAAAATGATAAAGAAATCACTTTCATTAATTTGACATTTTTAAGTGTTAAACCAAAAAAAAACCCAAAGAAGTTTGTGTCGATATCTGTTTCAAGAACAAAAAGACCCAAAAAACCATAAATGAAACCTAGTTGACCTGCACAGTAAAGCAAAACATAGCTAAGAGCAAACAAAGATACCTTATTTGTTCTACTAACAAAAATACCCCCAAACCCCAAAATATGGCGAGTGTGAACCTGCACAACAAAACAAAACGTAGTTAGTAGCATGAAGAAGATTCATTGGTGTATCCTATTACTGATATTTTTACATCAATTTTATGTTTGGAACCCACTCTAGACGCCATTTCCAGTTCAAGAAAACAATTAATCACATACACCATAAGTTGAACATAAATAAACATGTCAAAAGTATGCTGGTGGGTTATTATATATGAATGATATGCACTTAATACTTACTAAGATGATAAAGAAAATATACAATAATATTTTATTAGTTAATTTATATGGAAATCCAAAATAGAAATAATGGTTTTTTCAATTTGTATTTTTTCCATGATTGAGCTCAAGAGCAGCCAACACTTTTCCTTTCGGTTGCTACATGCATGTGTTTCTATTTTGCATATCACGCTTTATTCATTTAACCAAAAACCAAGGATACCACTCTAGAAGTAAAAAATAAAAATGATCTCTTAACCTTAATCTATTTGTGTGAATAACATACCAAAAACAGACTAAGAGAGTGAATCAAAGGAAAGGAGAATCACACAATTGTTATTGTATTTAACAACTAATAAATATACATACATGTTTCAATGGGCAGAGCTTAGTCTCAAACTCTTGACCCCAACAATCAGCCAAATCTAAAGATGCATTTGAACAATCTTTATACATGAAGATGAAAGGATTAATAATATAGATGAACTTCACTTCCATATTAGAAAAAAAAAAAAAAAAAAAAAAAAAACTCACGACTTTACTCGAACAAAGCCATCTCCAACCTAACAAGGAAAAAATGAAAGCTATTAGTTTCAAAAAAAGAAAAACAAAACATACGATACATCCATACAAAGAACTTAATACATGCAAACACAGTTCTATACACACACAGAGGAATTTATGTATGTACAAAACAAAAACACAAAAATGCAATAAAGTAATATATTAAAAATGCAGATTTATGCAAAAGGAAAAAAATCAAAAACACCAAAATTCTAGAAAATATTCAGTAAAACCCCCAAAAAAGGGTTTCACATTTGCTTATGAGGTTGTCCAGCACGTTAGGGGCCAGAGGTCGAGGAGGTGCGCAAAATCAAGACATTCCCACATGTGGTGAGCAGAAGTGACGTACAAAGAAGGAAGCAGGTAGTTGGAGGGTTTATATGGACCGAAAGAGAAAGAAAGATAGGGGCGTTTAGGGATTTTTTTAGCAAGAGACAGAGAGGGAGTACCATTGTTGTTGGTTATTAATCTTACAGAGAGATGGTCGACGATATGTGGTATTGACTCCCAGTGAAGAGAAACTACAGTGATGCTTAGGGTTTTTTGACTCTGAGAGGAAGAAGAAGAATGAGATCGACGCTTGGAGTGGGAAGGAAGATGAGTTGGTATTGGGCAATGGTGATATGCCTGTTTGGGAAGAGAGAGAGAGAGTCGCTAACTAAGAGGAGGGATCATGGGGAGGGACAGATATTTACCGAGATCTTAGGATTGAACGTAGACTTGATAAACAATTTTAACGATTTCAAGAGGGGACTCGGTAAAACACGTGATACATAAGGGTACCTATGCATTAAATAATTGTATTTAATGTTTAATGTTTTGTACGTATTGTATCACCGTTTAAACAATTGAAAATTATAATATTATTTTATTGGTGGTTATTTGTATTGTTAGCTTAATGATTTGGACGTCTTAAAAAAATAATATTATTATATTCAATCTATTTATAGAAATAGTGAGATTTCTTTATCAAGATAGTCTATATATATATATATATATATATATATATATATATATATATAATGATGTTTAATCTTTTGAAAGATTTTTATGCATTATTAGTTATAAAGAAAATATAATGCAATAATTGGGTAGGGTGTACAAAGCACAGTGTCATAATAAGAAAAAATGAAACTACTTAGTATAAAGAAATAAAAGTATGACGATGTAATAAATAAGTAAATGAAAGTAATTGATCTTTAAATGTGAGATTATTTAAAGACAAAAAGTACTAAGAAATTGGAGTATTGGGCTTTAGGGTCCTGAAACAGATGTCATAAAGGGCTTCAATTGTAGTGTGCTTTTTTGTATGTTTCGAAAAGCTTGCTCTTAGTTGTGCCATCTTTCTTTGAAACCACATGATCTCTTCCATTCATCTTATGAGACATGGGATGAACTTTGAAAAATAATCTCCTAATTGAATTACACTTATGTATGCCAAATTGTTCTGTAAGCGTTTGTTTTCTCGTGATTTTGAATACCCTTTGGCTTATATGTATCAAAATAAAATCATATCAAGTGACTATCAGACCTCATATACTAAAAGGCACAAACTCTATGG